TTTTGTTTGAGTAAAATGAAGCGCATCGACACTTTGGTGATTATAATTCAGTCGGTCTTGAAAACAGCAAGACAGACAGAAACAATCAATTAAGAAGGTTAAGAAATTGGACCACCTCCAACTATCCTCTTCAGTTGCAGGAAGTCCCAAAACAAAAGCAGCGACAACAGTAACAACAACAATAACAACAACAGCAACAACAAAAATAACAATAACAACAATAACGACAACAAAAACAAACAAACAACAACAACAACAACAACAGTATTTGAATAGACCACGTGCATAAGGGAGACGGTGCGTGAACTGATGTTGGATGTAGGGGCAGAGCAAGGGGCGTGGGTCGTTAATCGTGAAAAGGTCTCATACGTTATTTGCACTAAGGTTGGTGTTCTTCATCTCATCATGACAGTGTGAGTGAGTGAGTGAATGAGTGAGTATGTGTGTGTGTGTGTGGGGGGGTGTAAGTGAGTATGTGTGTGTGTGTGAGGGTGGGTGTGTGTGTGTGTGTGTGTAAGTGAGTATGTGTGTGTGTGAGTGTATGTGTGTATGAGTGCGTAAGTATGTGTGTGTAAGTGAGTGTGTGGGTGTGGGGGGGGCTTTGTGTGTGTGTGTGTTTGTGTGTGTGTGTGTGTGTGTATGTGTGTGTGTGTGTGTTTGCGTGTGTTCTCAAATACAAAAGCAATCCGAATTAAAAAGTATATATACTACAAACTATTGGGGTCATTAGCGTATAGAGATGACAAGCGGGTGGTTGGTGGGTGCCCTTAATTGTGTGGTTTGTTATTTCTGTCATTATCAAACAGTCATCGTCAGTTTCTCTCCCTCTTCTTATTTTAATTCTCTGCACTTAGAATCTACATTATGACATGTTTGTGTTCCAAGTCTTGTAATAAGGCAAAATCCAGTCAACCAACAGACAGACGGCTGTATGTAAAGACCCCACAAAGTGTTACCTCCTTTCCGACGAAGAAGCTGGTGCCGTTCTGTTTGAGAAGCCTCTCAAAGTACCCGAAGTAACGTTGTGTGTCTGGTCCCTTACAGCTTTTCAGCAGCTCCGCCTGGAAAGAACATCAGGTACAATACGACAACAGGAGAACGATGATAATCATAATATACATTAAATTCCCTGTATTTCTTTTTAGAGCCATTCTGATTGATACTGAGAATTTCACTTCTAAATAGTTAGATATAAGCAAAATTGAAACTGAACCCGCCTGTTAAGTTAATAATATTAATTATACATCGGAAGATATGGGCTCTTTGCTGTCGTGAGTTTCTGTTAATGTACATACATACATACATACATACATACATACATACATACATACATACATACATACAGACATACATACATACAGACATACATACATACAGACATACATACATACATTTATACATACAGACATACATACATACATACATACATACATACATACATACATACATACATACATACATACATACATACATACATACATACATACATACATACATACATACATACATACATACATACATTTTGACTTCAGAGACTATATACGAAGTCATTATTGGTTCAGTTATAATCTAATACGGGGTGCCCACTCCGGCTGGATCGGGCCGATCGCCGGACTTGATAGTCTGAAACTGAAAACAAACACATCTGTTTCTTGAGGCGATCGAGTCAGACGATCGGCCCGATCGGCCGATCCCATCCGTAGTGAGCACCCGTATAAGCTTTTAGAATTCGCTCACCTTCTTATCTTTATCTGCTTCGAGGAAAACTTTCCCCGATATGTCGAGATAATCCGAAATGAGGTTCAGCAATTGATCAATTTGAAGACATTCTATGTCGCTTTTCCCGTAGTAACCTGGAACATTTCATAAGTACTGATACGAAAATAAAACAGTTTCTTTCCTAATTAAAAACGTGAATAAACGTAATACATGTAATATGAAATTAATATTATTAAACTAAGAGTTTACAGAGAGGATTTCTTCCCAGAACTGATGAAAACACTATATCATTATGACTCTCGTCACATCAGAAAGAAAAAAAGAAAGAAAGAAAAAAAGAAAGAAAAGAAGCAAAAAAACCCCACAAAGCCTATGACGTGGGAGGTTGGTGGGTGCTCTGAAGTAGTTTGTATACATCTATTGCCCTCACCACTCCTTCTTCCTTTATAAGTTACTGATCTTTATAAGTAAAACAACAATAATTAAAACAACCCAAAGTTCTTCACACTTTCCTGTACATCCGACCGTCGAAAAGTACTGTCTCAGGCTGGTTGTAAATGTTTTAGCGTCTCCAACGGTATGAAATAGATTCTTAAGGAGGCGACTGCTTAGGCCTTGTCTGAGACGGTCAAACCCGGTTATATGTATCTACAAGTATCTACAAGTAACTACAAGTAACTACAAGTAACTACAAGTATCTACATGTAACTACAAGTAACTACAAGTAACTACAAGTATCTACAAGTAACTACAAGTATCTACAAGTAACTACAAGTAACTACAAGTAACTACAAGTAACTACAAGTATCTACAAGTAACTACAAGTAACTACAAGTAACTACAAGTAACTACAAGTAACTACAAGTAACTACAAGTATCTATAGGTATCTACAAGTATCTATAAGTATCTACAAGTAACTACAAGTATCTACAAGTATCTACAAGTATAACTACAAGTAACTACAAGTAACTACAAGTAACTACAAGTAACTACAAGTATCTACAAGTATTTACAAGTAATTATAATAAATAACTACAAGTAACTACAAGTAACTAATGTACAAGTAGCTATAAGTAATTATAAGTAACTGCAATTTGCCATAAGTAACTAGAAGTACTATAAGTATATATTTGTACTTATACGTAACTATAAGTAACTATAAATAACTACAATTTGCGATAAGTAACTATAAGTAACTATAAATAACTACAATTTGCGATAAGTAACTATAAGTAACTATAAATAACTACAATTTGCCATAAGTAACTATAAGTAACTATAAATAACTATAATTTGTTATAAGTAAATATAAGTAACTATAAGTAGCTATACGTAACTATAAGTAACTGTAAGTAAATTAAGTTATTGAAAACCACTGTAAGAACAAGCTGCCAGCTTACCATACTGTCTGGCGAAGTAGACCGCGATGGCGATTGACTGTGCATAGGTCTGTCCGTCTATCTCCACCCAGGGGGCCGTGCCAAAAGGAGATTCTAGAAAAGATATGGGAAGGCATGTTTGAGACTTTCAACAATCTGTGAAATAGAAAAGAAAGAAACAAACGAGCTAACAAAACCCAGCGTGGTGACCAAAGTTTAACTCATTCAAAGTAAGTCTGAGTGGGAAGAATAACACATTTCTCTTACAACTTCCTTGACCGTCAGCAAGACAGCAAGACGTCTTTCTATCATTGTGACACCCCCCCCCCCCCCA